AAATACGCCCTGGACGCACTCAAGCAGATCCAGGACCCTGAGGATCTGGACTACAGGAGCACGAACTACGACCTCTGGCTCCAGACGAAGCAGCAGCTGCAGAACAGCACGGACACCATCATGGGCCACCACATCCCGAGCCACCTGATTGAGCACCCAACCGAGCTGGAGAGGTGGAATGGTCCCACCTGGTGGGTCATAGGAAACGAGATGGCAGATAAGTACGCAGGCTGGGGGGCGGAGCACGGAGCACTGGATCCAGCCATCATCGTGCAGCAGCAGATCAGAGACCAGATCACCATGGCGGTGCAGAACCGGCTGCTGGCCATCAACATGGCGGTGACGGTGGAGGACCCCAACAAGGCCCCTCAGCGTCCCAAGGCCAAGCGGCGAAAGCCGCAGACGGCGAGGGACAGGGCAGCCCAGCAGGGACACGACCTGCGAAAGCTACATCCGCGATGGTGGTGTGCAACGTGTCGCAGTGGCCCAGCCAAAGGACAAAGCATCAGAGACTGGTTGGCAGAGACGGGAAAATGCCTCGGGAAGTACGGCGGCCACCAGGACCAGCACGGCAACGTCAGGCTCGACTTCAAGGCGGTGCAGATCGGCACGCAGGTGGTGCACGTCTCCCACAAGACGCAGTTCACCCATGGCTGGCTCTGGTGCGAGAAATGTGGCGGCACCAGCTACCTTGGGGACCACAAGAGTAGGATCGTGGCAGGAGTGGCCAGGAAGCTGGCAAGGCCATGTCAGCCCCCAACAGCAGCAGGGCGGCGGGTCTTGGAGGACATGCAGAGGGGCAAGCTGCCAAGAGGAGCTAAGCCAGCAGCAGACCCAGCTGATGAGGGTCTCGACGAGATCACCATGCCAGGTGACTTCAAGCTCGGCCTGAGTAACCACGAGGTGATCGATCTGGACGGGGACAGCTCAGAGGCAGGGGGCCCGCAGCCAGCTCCGCAGCAGCCACCCAGCCAGCCGCGCTCTGTCGTCCACGCCAGCTTGAGGCTCGTCGACCACATGGAGGGCTACGCGGAGCAGTGGATGAACATGGTCGACCAAGAGGTCTGGGACGATATGGACGACTGGATGGAGCACTGCGTACCGTACCTCCTGGCCATCACCTATGTGGGTGGCAGAACGGACACGCAAGAGCAGACCAGGGCCGTCACCGTGCAGGAGATCCAGCAGATAAAGGACTTCTGCGAAGAAGTCTGGCGCAACACGCACCGCACGCGACGGAGGCTCATGACCAGGATGCTTACCCTCCCGTACGGTACAAGGCAGCAGGCAGCTAGAGTGCACATGGACGCCTTCCACAACAGAAGGAACAACATCGTAGCGCACAGCATCCCCAGCAGTGAGCGCAGGCCGCTGCCGAGAACAGCGGAGGCCAGCCGAGAGTGGTCACCAGAGAACCTGAACGATGATGACTCGACCCCAGACAGTGAAGCCCCAGAGCTGGAGGGTGAGCCGAGCAGCCAGGAGATGGAGACCATGGCGGGACCTGATCAGAGGCACGACGCCAACAGCCTGATGCAGACGGCAGTGCAGGTGGCAGTAACGCTGACCAAGCCAGTGGGGCCCGACCTGATGAAGTTCGTGAGCGAAGCCGACGAGGCCGGCCTGCTCCACCCAAGGCTTCGACACAACAAAGGAGAAGCTGACCAGGACCCCGAGCAGGAGGTGGCGTGGCTCGAGAGGAACAGGCTCGAGCAGCTCATGCAGTCGCTGGCAGGCTGTTGGAGCCAGAAAGAGGGCGAGCTGGGCTGGCCATCGTGGCAGGCCGCGTGCGTGCCCCATGTGCTGAGGGCGCTGCAGACTGGCGTCTATCAGAGGCTTTTCAGCCACGTGTCAGGGACGAACCGCCAGCGCAGCCAGCGCCGGGCGGCGGAGGAGATCTGCCGCCTGGCATGGCTCAACAGCGGAGAGGAGCGCAGACAGATCCAGCAGCAGGACCCGAAGGAGGCAGAGCGGCGCAGAGCAACGGCTGAGCAGATCCTGGGCGTGACTGAGCCAGAGGTGAGGAGCCGCAGCCCGCGACCGCAAGCAGCAGGGCGAGTGCAAAGCAGGGCTCCAGCCAGACAGCCGAGGAGGCCCCTGTGCGGAGAGGGGACAGGCCACCATGGACCCCTGCGCGGCGATGGGGTTAGGCCGAGGAGGACCCCAGCGTGGCGAGGGGTTAGGCCACAGCCCTGCGCCAGACGGGACGCAGAGGGGTGCCCGTCCCCCACCAGCAGGACGCAGCACCAAGGACATGGCAGACCTCGACCACGTCCCTGAAGAGGAGAACAGAGAGGATAGCCCCCAGCAAGCCGTAGACAAGCAAAGCAGCGATGACAACCACCAGCGGTTCCCAGATGTACAGCACAGCATAGGGTACCACCTGGCAGACCGCAGAGGACCCCAGCGTGGCGAGGGGTTAGGCCACGGAGGACCCCAGCGCGGTGAGGGGTTAGACCGCATAACCAAAGACAAGCAGAGGATCGAGGCGGAGGTCCCTGACGAGCCCAGTGAGCATGACGCGGACGTCTTGACCAACAGTGTGGTAGACAGGACCTCGCAACTAACAGAGCGGACCCATACCCTGGGAAACCGACAGACTGAACGCGAGGGGGAGGGCTTGGCCCGCGGATACCACGTGAACCGCGAACACAGCGAGTGGCATAGTCGGGGGACCTCGCCTGAGCCAGTGGGCAGCAGCACCGAGGATGGGGACAGTGCGAGACTCGGCGCTCCCCTGCGTGGCGAGGGGTTAGGCCACAAACCAGCGCAGCCTGAGAAGGCGGCAGACTACGACGACACAGACCTGCAGCGGGACTTGAATAAGATCGTCGGCGACCCTCCCCAGCGCGGTGAGGGGGTAGACCGCAAGGCACCCCTGCGCGGCGAGGGGTTAGGCCACGGAAATCCCCTGCGCGGTGAGGGGGTAGACCGCAGGACCAAAGGCAAGCAGAGGCTTGAGGCGGAAGCCTATGAAGTGCCCAGTGAGCATAACGCGGACCTTTTGACCAACAGTGTGGTAGACAGGACCTCGCAACTAACAGAGCGGACCCAAACCCTGGGAAACCGACAGACTGAACGCGAGGGGGAGGGCACGGCCCGCGGATACCACGTGAACCGCGAACACAGCGAGTGGCAAAGTCGTGGGACCCCGCCCGAGCCAGGGGGCAGCAGCACCGAGGACGGGGACAGTGCGAGACGCGGCGTACCCCCGCGCGGTGAGGGGTTAGACCGCAGCAGGCCCCAGCGTGGCGAGGGGTTAGGCCACGGAGTACCCCAGCGCGGTGAGGGGTTAGACCGCAACGATCCCCAGCGTGGCGAGGGGTTAGGCCACGGAGGACCCCATAGTGGAGAGGGGTCAGACAGCAGCAGGCCCCTGCGTGGCGAGGGGTTAGGCCACATGGGGCCCCAGCGCGGTGAGGGGTTAGACCGCAACAGGCCCCTGCGTGGCGAGGGGTTAGGCCACGAAGCACCCCAGCGCGGTGAGGGGTTAGACCGCAGCAGCCCCCAGCGTGGCGAGGGGTTAGGCCACGATTTTCCCCAGCGCGGTGAGGGGTTAGACCGCATCGACCCCCAGTGTGGCGAGGGGTCAGGCCACGACGGACCCCAGCGCGGTGAGGGGTTAGACCGCAACAGACCCCTGCGTGGCGAGGGGTTAGGCCACCACGGAGCACCCCAGCGCGGTGAGGGGTTAGACCGCAACAGGCCCCTGCGTGGCGAGGGGTTAGGCCACGGAGCACCCCAGCGCGGTGAGGGGTTAGACCGCAGCAGCCCCCAGTGCGGCGAGGGGTTAGGCCACGAGTTTCCCCGGCGCGGTGAGGGGTTAGACCGCACCGACCCCCAGCGTGGCGAGGGGTTAGGCCACGGAGGACCCCTGCGCGGCGAGGGGTTAGGCCGCAACGCGCCCCAGCGTGGCGAGGGGTTAGGCCACAGCTCTGCGCCAGGCAGGGCGGTCGTGAAGGCCCATGAGTCCAGGGGCCAGCAGCCAGGGCGGTCCCTGGAAGAGCGCAGAGCGGAGGAGCGGCTGCGGCCGTCCATCTGGCTGCTCCTCAAGCTCTGAGTGGGCGGCGGCAGCATTTCTTCAGACTGCCGCTGCTCACGGGGCGACTCCATGAGTCACAGAGTGGCGGCAGTAAGACGCCGTGAGATGAGGCCACTGGCCCACCCCGCCTCGGGCCGTTCTGCCTGCGCGGAGTGCCGAGACCAGGGGCACCCACTCACGGGCGGGAACACGCGGGTTTAAAAATCCTCTTGCCCCTCCTCCTCCTCCTCCTCCTTCTCCCCCTCCTCTTCCTTCTCCTTCTCCTCCTCCTCCTCCTCCTCCTCCTCCTCCTCTCCTCTTCCTCCCCCACTTCTCTTCGCCAGTTTCAAGAATTCCCATGATCAACGTACCAGAAATGGTGCTGGAAGGATTCAAGATTATGCGGGCGCAGCAGTTATGTTGATTCGCGGTGCTGAGGTCCTAAAAGTGGCGTTCTGGGACGATTTCGTACCGTCAGGACGCAGCAGTCAGGTTGATCGATCCGTGGCGTGGAAATCCCGAAAACAATAGATTGGTATGTTTCGATTAACGGGCGAATAGAAGTATAAACTACTCTTTTTCGTTCTCCGGGGTGCTTGTCCCAGGTCGGCTGGAAAGTTTATACCCTTGCGGTGGCACGTCAAGATAGAAACGTTCCAGCCGCCTTGGGGCAGCGCCCCCGGTGACGGAAGCATTTATCTAAAAACGTGATTCGCCCTCTAATTCAAGGTCTTCAAACGGTTGTCTTCCAACGAGGCAGTTCCTTCAATGGAAGTGAACCGTTGCAGGGGCATATGAAGAGGGAGCTTGGAGGGAAGGTTAATTCCAACATCGTCGATGACACTTGGGTTCGCACTGGTCCTTCCTCCTCCTCCTCCTCCTCCTCTTGTCGCTGTCGCTGCGGGCCGGTCCGGCAACTGGAGGCGCTGGGGCGCGGAGGCCCCGCAACCGCAGCAAAGGGCCTCCTCCCCGCGCGCAGGAGCGCCAAGGGCGGCGGCGGCAAGGGCGGCGGCGGGGGCTGGCAGGAGCGCCCTGCACGCGGCCGCGCCGCCGCCCGCTCTGGCGGCCTTCACCGTGCAGCCGCGCCTCCTCCTTCTCCGCCTGCTCCCCCGTCTCGTCCTCTCTCCTCGTCCCTCCTCCTCGGCCTCGTCCCTCCTCCCTCCCCCCTGCAGTGAGGCTCCGCCTCTCCCATGTCTCGTCCTCCTCTCTCCTCTCGTCCCTCCTCCTTCCTCCTCGTCCCTCCTACCTCCTCCCTCCGCCCTGCAATCACTCATGCTCCGCCTCTCTCCCCTGGCTCTGTCCCGAAGTTGTCCCGCTTTCTCCGCGTATTGTAATGTGTTTTTCCCACACAGGGTTTCAAGATTTGGTCTTTCGCATGTGTGTTTTCCAATCCCGTCGTTTTCGGTATTTCAAAATCGTGTTTCCGCACAGCGCTGGCCTCCTTTCCGCGCTCCTGGTAAATCGTATTCCCGCTGCGGTGCTTGCCTCATTCCCGCGTTTTCGGTCCTTCCGAACGGTGTTCCCGCTGCAGCGTTGGTCTCATTCCTGCGTTTTCGGTATTCCGGAAGGTGCTCCCGCTGCAGCACTGACCTGACCTCCAAATTCTTGGTCTTCCAGCATGGTGTTACGGTTGCACCATCCACGCAGCCATGGTATGCAATTCAATGCTATGTTTTGTATCGCTATATGTAGTTGCATGCTTGTCTCAGAAATTCTGTGATATGCAACGCTGGGCTTCGCAGTGCCATGCTATGCAATTGGATGCAATGCTATGTTATGTGCCACTATGCGATGCTATGTTCTGCGCTGCAACGCAATGTGTGCAATGACCGACTACGCAATGCTATGCCATGCTATCCATCGAGAACCTTTGGGGGTCGTTGTCATCTTCGACATCCGACGACTGTGCGAATTGAGAGGGGCTCTGGGGCTCTGCTCAATGGCAAAGGGATGGCAGGGAGGGGTATGACTCAGATACGACGCGAGCGCACCTAGCTTGATATGAATACTGCTCTCTTCTGTCGCCCGAAGATGGCCGAGGAGTCGCCCGACCCCCTTCGGGCGCTGCTGTCCCACACCTGCTTTTAGGTATGGGTGTCCCTTGTTATTTGTTGTTGCAATCCGGTCGTCGTTTGCCGCAGCGGGGGCCTCATTATCAGATCGGCGCTTTGCCCCCGTTGTTCAGAGAGGAGCTCTCGCTCCAGCGTCTGGATCCGAGTCCTTCCTCATCGTTGTCGCCGCCCTCCTTCTCCTCCTCGGCCTTCCTCTGGTCCTCCTGCGCCTCCCGCTTCTTCCGCCCCAGCTCCTGCTGCTGCGGTTCGTCTTCGTCCTCCTCCTCCTTCCCATCCGCCTTTTCATCCTGATTGTCCTCCTGCGCATCTGCCACCTCCCCTTCCACTGTACGCAGCTTCATCTTCTCAGATTGCGCATAACACGGTGGGGTCCTCCTTGGAGTTCAAGGTCGGCTATGACAACCGTCGGCGGGTAGAGAAACAACAAAACGCAATTTAAAGGTATGAGTGGAAGGGGTAGGATATATATATATATATATGGAGCCAGCGCGCCTCATTTGCTTGTCTACGCAGAGACTGCGGAATACTGCTCTCCTATCTCCCCCCCGATGGGGTTGTTGCCATTGCTTTCTTTTTTTAGTTTCTCTGGCAGGGCTCAAGAAACATCAGTTTCAGCTGTGTGTATCACTTGAGAGATTGGAAGCCAGAATTTTCCCAGCTTCGCTTGATGCTTCGTCCAAAGCGATTGACTCAGCAGCAAAAAAAGCAGTACAAGGCACGCGCATACAAGTTACATGCACAAGCAGTGGCTCAAATAGCCACTCCTGCCCGCGAATCCCAAAAGTCCAATGGTCCATGCAGCGGCCGCGCAATTCCCTTGCCTCACACCACCGTCCGTTTGGATGATGACATGTGAGTCCTGTACACAGAGGTTGGCAGGAGAACGCTTCTGCCACGTGCTTCGGCGATCCATCATTCGATTAGCCAGGCCATCAGCTACTCGATTGTGAACTCGTGGGAACCATTGAACAGGGTCCTGATGGAGCCCAGGATGCTTCCACACATTACACATGTGATTCCATATTCCGTCCAACACCCGAGTAATCAACGGTTTCAGGGTCGGGTCACGCGGCTTCGCGTGGGCGCAGACCGCTTGTTGCACATAGACTTTGAGCCGATTGCCAATACAAGCTGGCTTTCAGCAGAGGTCCAGCAGATCGTTGGCGCAAGTGTGTCCTTCCATTCGTCCGTGTCCGGCTCTCTCCGCCCGAAAACTCGTCTGCTCTTTCTGTTGCGCCCGGCCCTGTCCGTTCTCTCCCTGGCCGGCGCTCGCTTGGCACCGAGTCTGCGGCCGCCGCTGGCGTCGGACCGGCAACCGCACATGTGGACCTGTGAGTCAGGTGGTTCCCAATGTCTGGACGCCCGAAATGGGTATGGAAAGAATGGGTACACTGCCGAACAGCAGTTCCTGTTCATTTTGAACAGGGTTCGCTGTCCGCGCCGCCGCGGCCTGTGTCCATTCGAGACAGAAGGCCGCCTGCCCAACAGCGGCCGCTGTTGGTTTGGGACAATATTGTTTTTGGGCATTCTGCCTATTTTTCCCGTACCCATTTCGGGCGTCCGCACAATGGGACCCCAGGGAAAGGGACTCTTGAGGCGGGCGATGCCCATGTCTCAGGTCCGCTCGGCTTCGCCCGCAAGGTCGTCGCACGACGCTTTCGCTCGCACCTCGAAGTCTCAAATTGCACCGCCGCGGTCTCAGGAGTCTCTCCTTTTCCCTGGCGTCGTGGAAGTCGATTAGTTAATGGAGAGGAAGATGTTTCAAACATGTTTTAAATGTGCTAAGAACATGTTGAAACATGTTTAGAACATGTTCTACACATCTTAAACACATCACTAATCCAATGATAGGATTGTTCGAGTGTCCATTGTCATGGCATCCACAACCCTGGCGTCCCTTTCAGGAAGCGCATCAGTAAGTTTCGCGAACTCGTCCAACCGCTGTCGCCATTCACTCACGGTGCCTTCATCTCGTATCGGCCGCCATTTCTCGCCCAACAAAAATCGACGAGCGGATCCTCCCAAAAAGCTTTTTGACCACCAGATCCTTGAAGTAAACCTTCTAGCCAGCGCCGCTTGGCGCCCGCGTCTTTGACGAGTGCCCACAAGTCCCGGGAATGGAATGCCCTATCCCTGCCAGCCAGCGAATCCCCGGCTGAATCGAATGGATCCTTTTCGCGACGGGTTGCCGCAAAAAACGCAGTCAAGATAATCACGTGAATCGGTTTGTATGCAGTTTTGGCCATCCAGCCCTTGATGCGCTCGGCAGTCCGTTGTAAATATGTTGCGAAAGTCTCGTCGGGCTTCCTCCGGAGACGAAGAGCCCGCCTGAGCCACTGCAGTTCCCAAGTCCACAGCCTTTGTAATAGCAGGCACTTCTAATGCCAAGTTCATGTGCCGTGAAGAAGAGATGCTCGGGGACCTCGGCGCCACGCGTTTAGTTTTCGAGCGATCGTGCCCAGTGCAAGGAGAGCGCGGGAGTGCGCCCAGAAGTTGCCCTCGAACTTGCTCTGTCTATAGTCGACGCTGGTCACGGTTGTGCCATGGGTGTCCATGAGTTCGCCGAGGATGACCATGTGGGCAACTTGTGCGAATGCCAGGTCGCTGGCAGGTGTTCGGCAAGCGAACCCGCATATGTCTTCGAAAGACGCATCGCCCCCAGCTATGATTTGGAAATAAGCTTCTTTCCAACGAAGTCTACCTGACTCTATATATATATATATACATATGTATAGACCTTGCGATCTCATCAATCATGCGCTGTAAGTCGTCCTGGGTGCCCGATAGCAACCATCTGCTGTCACACCAAAGCCTGTGGGAAATCGCGGACCCCTCTGCCAGTGTGCATCCGGAGCCTCGGCTGAACCATAACTGCACTGTGTCGTTGATTAAATACTCTACAGCCAAGACGCTTATTTAGCGTTCCTTCTGATAGTACCTCGACTGTATCATTGCATTGAAAAGATCAGGCGTATCGACTCAACCTTGCTTGCCCCCTCAGGTGAAAGAGAGCCAAGCTTTCGGGTCACACCAAGGAGCGGTGATTCTGGCAGCGACGGCGCCGAGCTCGCGGAAAACGCGGTGCGTCATCATGGCATGCACGCCTTCCCACGCCAAGAGTTTCTCTGAAACCCTAAAAAGCATGTCGCCAAAAGCGGTCTGAGTGTCTAGCGGTGCGATGCATACGGATGTACCCTGAAACGTCCAGGCCGCGTGCAGAACTAGTCGGATCGCCGCTGAGACGTCTGTGTTCCGGCGACCGTTCTTGAACCCGAAATTGCAAGTATGACTAGGTCAACCATTGCGCCGCAATTGCTCACGAAGTGCATGGTGATACCACTTTTGACTGACAGCTGTCTTGGCAATCCATCTCAAGTTCTTGTCCAAGGTGTAAATCTGACCGGCGTCAGGCTGTGGTGTGCCAATGTATTCGAGAAGCTTCCAAGACTCAGGAGACGCATGGTGAACTGCTGTCTGGCGATATTTGAAGCAAGACCAATAATATAGACATCTGGCGGACGACATGTATTCGTACAGCTCGGGTGGAACCCCGTCGACCCCGACAGCTTTACCCTCTCGTAGTGTTGCCCAGGCTTGCAGAACTTCAAGCAAATTCAAATAGCGGCAAGACTTCCCATCCCAAATCTCATTTTCACCAACGCTGAAAATCCGTTTCAATCGAGCATCTTGCATATCGATGTGATTGCGAAGGCCTTATGGCCAGTGCCGCCGACCTTGAAGACGGCGACGACGAGGACGACGAGGATGTTGAGGAGCAGGTGGCGGAGAACGCTAGGTTGCAGGAGGGGCGAGGAGGAGGAGGAGGAGGAGGTGCGAGGGGGGAGGAGGAGGACGAGGAGGGTGGGGGGACGAGGATGGGAAGACGAGGAGGGGGGGAGAGCAGGGGGAAGAGCGAGGCGAGCAGGGACGCATTTGCAGGAGAAGGACGGCTGAC